ACTATTTCTATGCAGACATTCAATTGATTCTCTCTAGTTTTCTGTCCAATTTTCCATTCATTTTCAATTCCTGATGCTGGTGCTTTGCATCAAGAACTGGCTTGCCTCTTGCTGATATCCTCCTTTGCAGGAAGGGTTCAGCTTTCTTTGGTTTATTGAGTGAGTTACGTCTGGTGGAATTGCTTTCTATCTTCCAAATATTTGGTAACATTTCTTGTCTACTCATACTTTTCTTACATTCTTGTTGTTCTTAGGATTATCTTTTTTTTTTCATTCTCTTAGTGTCACTTCAGTGATATTTCAGAGGAGAGGAGCGATAATCATATGTGTATAATTTGTCATTCCTACTTAGAAAAGTTTCAAGATTTAAAGAATCTGGTTCAAAAGGGTTGGGAAAGTTAGGTTATGAGTTATACAGCTTTCTGGCATTAGAACAAATGATATAAGGTAAAGAGCAGTAACATGGGAGGCAGCATGACCTGGGCTTGAATTTCAACTCAATTACTACAAGTTGTATAACTCTGGCCAACTCATTTTTCTGCATCTCTTTTCTCAATCCTAGGGTTGATATTACTTAATTCCCGAGAATGTTATGAAGTAGAAATAAGATTATTCCAGCATATAGTAGGAACCTGAGGTTTTATAAACTTACAGATATATAAAACACATGAAAAATTTTAGCAATTCAATTAAAATAAAAAAACAACAACACAACACAACACAACAAAAGCATCAGGCCTTAGATTCCAGTTAGTCTGCCTTCTTGTTTTAAACACACTTAGAATATAGGTTAATTTTCTATTTTGCTCTTGGTAATTTCTCTTTAGAAAAAGATCATCTTTTAAAAAATATTCTTTTCTACCTTTCAAAGTCCAAGGACTTGTAATATTATTCAGTAATAAATATTAATGATCGATAAAGCTCTGAGCAGACATGAAGGAAAAAGTCTGAAAAGGCTACATACTCTACAGCTCTCTTCTGTAGTTAACAGTAGTATAGTTATTGTTTGAGATACCAAGCTCATGGTTGTTTCTGTGAGGAAGTTAGGGAATAAGTAGCCAGGAGAACTGCTAAGGATGGGAGATAAATCATTTTGTATATCCAAACCACAACTAGAATACATGACTTATTTAAATAAGAGAAGTTGCTCTGACCAGTTTGGCTCAGTGGCTAGAGCGTCGACCTGCGGACTGAAGGGTCCCAGGTTCGATTCCGGTCAAGAACATGTACCTTGGTTGCGGGCACATCCCCAGTAGGGGGTGTGCAGGAGGCAGCTGATCGATGTTTCTCTCTCATGGATGTTTCTAACTCTCTATCACTCTCCCTTCCTTTCTGTAAAAAATCAATAAAATATATTAAAAAATAAATAAATAAGAGAAGTTGTGGAGGTAATGTTTTATATTTAAACTAGGTTAAATGTGTGTTTTTTTTTTTAATGGGAATTGTATTTGCTGTTCACTAAGAAAGAGCTCACACATGTGGAAAGAAAAAATGGCTAGTATTTTACTTGACGGTTTTATCTACTATCAGCTATTGCGATTTTCATAGTTAAAAATGAGTTTCTGAGGAAATCAGAACTGAACTGATGAAGTTACTAGTTTGAACCATTTGAAACTGTACATATGGAATTGTTCTGACCTCCAAAAACTTACTTTTGTAAACAAATAATATGTTATCTTGTGTAGTGAAAAGTACTGCACTTGGACTCCAAATGCCAGTTACTAACTTACATAATAATGAGCATTCCACAAGATCACTTCAAGAGCAAAATGGAGATAAAATAAACTACTTATTAACATAGTTGTGATATTTATACAAGATAAAATATTTAAAAATCTTTGTAAACTCTAAAAGTGATACAGAGTTGTTACAACTAGAGATTATTGACTTTGCCCAAATTTCCTACTCACAATTTAGTTTCTGAAATGAACTCACTACATGAGACTTAGCAATGTACAAACTTAGGTTTAGGGCTAAATGATATTTCTCCATGCCAACGGGTCCATTAAAGCCACCCTACTGTTTATTGAATTTAATTGAACTAAAATTGGACTTACTATACTTAAGGAATGGTAAGTGCTGAGGGACCATAAAGATGAGTAATTGTTGAGAGATGTTGGAGTCTGGTCCAGTAAGTGAGATTTCCCATTGATCACCGTGGGTATTTAGTTAAAAACCTCGACATGCCACATTCATGAATTAAGAGAGAATTAAAAGAGACTAAAACCAAATTAACATAAATAAAAGGACCCAGCAGTTATTTAATTATCTAGCAGAACAAAACTTAACAGTCTTTAAAAGAAGATAAAACCTAGACTCCTTGCAATGTATCTTTATCAATATACATTATATAATAAACAATAACTAGATATGCAAAGCAGAAAAATATGACTTATAATGAAGAAACACAGAAGTTGACAGAAATAGACCCAGATGATGATCCAGAATTGGAAATAGCAGACAGGACTTTAAAGTAACTACTATAAATACATTCAAGGATTTAAAGGAAAATATAATCAAAGTGAACAGATGGAGGAACACTATCTAAAAGGGAGAAAATATTAGATTGAATGAACAGCACAGGAAATAGCTACATGTCAAACTTAATATATGTCTAGACAACTATATATCAACTATATATCTTAAAGTGCTTTAAATATTATAAAGATCATAAAAAACATCTTCTGCTTCCACCAGAGAAAGTGGAAAATGAGGCATTTACAAATATGTCCAGATCATCTTGTTCTCCGTAAGGTAACAAAGCCTGCATGCATGGGAACCATTTTACCAGAGCCTAAGTGACCTGGGGGAAGGGAAATACCCAACTCTGGCTCCCTCCAGCCTTCCTGTCTCATCTAAAGGGCAGACACTAAGAAGCACCTGAGAAGGTCACAACCCAGAGACAGAGGCTTGATAAAAGACTGAGGCCTAATTAGAGGATTACAAAACACTTCCCCTTCCCTACAGTTTACCTACATATCAATAGGGCTCCTGTTTGATAAAGGGTAATACAAATGAAAGAACTTATTTAAAAAGAAATCTCTAGGGAAACCCAAAGATAACAGGGGAGACAAAAAAGAAGGATATTAGAGGAAATTTTAGTCTCTGACTAATCTTCAAATTATATTTGTCATTTTGTCACTCAAAATCTCTAATAGTGCCTCAGCTTCTCAATCTAGGTCCCATAAACATCTTAAGCACATATCTAAAACTTTACTTATTATCTTTCCTAGTGCCATGCCCACTCACCCATTTCCTAACTTACTCCCCATTCAGTACCTTAGTTAGGGTATAGGAATACATCCACACACCTAACATTCCATTGGATTCCAAATCTTATTGATTCTACAGAGCAATTCTGAGAGGGAAGCTGAATTCCCTCACTGAAAAATTAAAGAACTAATGCACCAGCCAGGCAAGTAACTTACTGGAACTAGAAGGTAATACCACATGTAATTAAGATAACCAAAGTTAGACGTGTCAGCCACAGTTACAGGATACCATTGGATCACCTTTAAATAATTATGCATGAATTCTCTGGGTCAGTAAAAAAAAAAAAAAGATAAACCAGAAATAAGATTATTAAATTATAGACTTACATACACATACACTTATTATAAACACACATTCCTAGTAGGAAATCGATGAATATTTGTTGAATAAATGAATGGATATATTTTAAAAACACAATCTTGGTAATGTAGTTCAAAGGGGAAAAGATGACAGAATATGTTATTGGCTCCTACTTTAATTCACTCAGCCTTTCAAATCCATGATATGTGCATGCCATTACTAGCACATTTTACTAAGCATCTATCATCTCTGCTGCTTAATGCCTACAATGAAGGGAGAAATAAATAGGAAATGCAATAAGCATTAAAGAATAAAAAAAAATCAGGAAAGGCAGCAGGTTTATTATTTCTCCTGAGAGTAATTAATAAATATATAACCTTAATGTGCTTTTCTTTTGTTCTTTGGTTTTTAGGCAAATTTATCTCTTGAGTAATTTTAAGTGTTTATTATCAGCAGTCACTGTGCCTGCCTGAAAATACAGAGATCAGCAATAAATTCAGCAGAAGGACTGGAGCCAATAAAATGTTGTTTGAATAAAGTAGAATTCTACCTGAAATACATTTTGGTTTAGTTTTTCTTCCACAGATTGTTATATCCTAGGTAACCATGTTACTTTCATCTTTTCAACCATTTTTACACTTAAGCATTCAACTCCTAAATTTATAAACTCCTCACTTAAACACAATATATAGCTTTAACTTACTACCCTGCATTATGGGACGTGGAGTTTCCCTAGAGCAGCGGTTCTCAACCTGTGGGTCGCGACCCCTATGGCGGTCGAACGACCCTTTCACAGGGGTCGCCTAAATACATCCTGCATATCAGATATTTACATTACGATTCATAACAGTAGCAAAATTACAGTTATGAAGTAGCAACGAAAATAATTTTATGGTTGGGGGTCACCACAACATGAGGAACTGTATTAAAGGGCTGCAGCATTAGGAAGGTTGAGAACCACTGCCCTAGAGTGTGGTTGGCCCTCCCAAGAGGACATTGTTTCCTTTTCTAAATCTGTCAAATTGTTAGCAAGAAGCTATCAATAGGAGAAAGCAAGTTTCAAATGATTTACATCTCTGTATACATAGAGATTCTCAAACACCTTCCCAAGTGGCCTTTATTTACTCTCTACCAGCTGAAGTCAAACAGGTCTGTCCTAAGCAAAAAGGAAAATAGGGTATTACCCTTGGCTCTTGTACCCTTTTGATGACAACCGACATGAAAGTAAACCAGAGTGAGCTAGAATGTATCTACAATGCTGGGCCGGTAGAAGAGGCAGTATTCAAGGGAGAGACTTACAGAGGGACGAGGCTCAAGCAGAAGAGCTTCTGAGGGCTTAAGTGATGATTTGTGCAAATTGGTATAAGAATGTCTCGTTATCTTATAATTAAATTTCATTTAGTGATTCTATTTATTTCTATCCATACCTGGTAAATCAGAGAAGAGAAGAATGCACTCATTAAAGCCATTGGCCAAAAGCCGGTCCCGCAGTTGCTGAAGAATTGCTACTCCGATACAGAATGGGAAAGAGGAATTTCCAAGTAGCAAGGTATCCCAGAGGTGAAAAATTTTGTGCAGTGGAAATACATCTGTAAAGTGACAAAATATAAATAAATTAATTACAATAAAAAAACAAAATAAAAATTAAAACAATAACAAGCTGCTTAACTAGACATATGACCATTACCTTATGGTTAAAACTATTAAGAACATGTACTATCGAATTGTTTTATAAAATGTTTATTTGGCTTTGTAAATGGACTGCTTCCTAAGGAATCTTAAAATATTGATAATCAGATTGGTCAAACACATGACATTTTCTAACCTTCATTATAAATGTTGGTGTAGTTGTCCCAGACAACATATTTCTTCCTAGAATTTTCCAGATAATTATATTATTCTCATAAGTTTATTCACCAGCTGAACTTTAATATAATTTCATTTCTACTATGCACTCTAAATACTTTCTTTATTAAATTCACATAAAAAAATCCAATTAGCAATTTTCTATTTTTCACAATTTTTTTTCATTTAATAATACTGTAGATATTTTCCAGGCCAATGCATACAGATTTACTTCAAATATTGTATTTCACTTAACATGTGTGTATATTTAAGCAGAATGATCACTGTATTAATATTTGTAATTGGTAAAAGTATCACACTCTCACATAAGTTGTTTAATTTCTAAAGGAATTCTAGTTTAGGAAATAAAAGAATTTATTATTAGAGAATCTGTAAAAACTTAAGCCTAATGTGGTTAAAAGTTGCCTTCCAAAACTTTATGTAAATCCTATAGTTAATATTAATTTCTTTTTCAATAGAAGGAATAAATTTTATGAATGTCACAATATGTAAAACAGGTTTTCAATCAATACAATACTTGTTTTTATATTCAGCAGTCAGAACAATTCATATTTTTTTTCTACCAGACTCTATTACATTAGAAATACATATGAATGACTATGTAATTAAATCTGCTGATACTACTGTAAATATACTGGAGAAGAATAGAGTTATCCTTTAGCTAACATAATAGCAAAAGGAAAGGGAAAATGATACTTACGAGTAAACATGGTGAGAAACCAAGGGATGGCGTAGAGCTGTAAGTGGGAAAAAAAAGGGGTAATGGGGACAGATGGATAAAGAAGAGATAATTGGAATGATTACTAATAAACTGAATGGTAAAGAAAGTTCTATATATTGGTTTACTACATTAATTAAAATAAAACAGAATGTAGATAATTGTAATTATTATCATGTATATTCTATTAAATAATAGTATCTATTACAAATGCTGCATATAGCCCTTATGCTAAAAATTATTCAACAGAATGCCTTCATTTCATCAAAAGATACATTCAAGACCATGTCTAATCTAAACAGAACACTAGAATGCTAATTGCAGGGGTGTATTTTTCAGGTAGTACAAAAATATTCCTGAGACTTAAGTGGTCCTCATTAGTGTTGAGTTACCTTTACTATTTTTGAGAATCGATGAGATATTTAATAAATACCCAAAATGTCTCATAAAAAGGTGTTATAAAGCATATTCTTTCTGTTACAACTTTCTAAATTAATAGGAAGCTTCATAACAGACTAAAAGTAATAAGATCTAGGAATGAAATAATTTGATCATTTAGCTGAGTGGCAAATTTATTTTCCTAAGTTTATTGTCTAGGAATAAAAATAAATACATAAACACACACTTTCAATTAATTCTGTGAGATTATAAAAGTGAGAAATCATTCTTAATTCTAAAAGTAGAGTATAATCTTCTTTGTCAATAGCAAGTATCAAAAATCAATAATTATTTATAAAAAAATCTGAAAAAGCTCTAATTTTACTTTCTGTGTCAATATAGGCCCCTATTAAACAAAGATTTATATCCAACCTATATAGTTTAAATAAATATTTCACCACCTACCAATTATGAATTTACGAGTACAGTTGCAATATGCCTTTGTATTGCACATAATTGAGTATTTATGCTTCCAAAATGCCAGTCAAGAACCATAAATATAATGACATACTACATTGATATCTAAGTACTGTATGTGAAATAAAGCCCATTGCTCTCCACTAGGTCATTTTTATACGTTAACAGATAGGAATCCTTGAAAGTAACATCACAAGTGGGAGAACTGAGGAGTACAAAGATGTGTGACTTCAATGTAAACAGTATGGATTATAGAAAACTATAAAATATAACAAAATTCAAGCTCTTCAGCATAATTTAAGTTTAAAAAAGTCAGAAATTAGTTACATCACCAGTATTCAACTTTATTTCTTTAAGGACATGACATCAATTACATTTCCCTCTACCCTTCTGATCAAAGCCAATTGTTTGCCATTAGGAGTCTTTCTGAATTACTTTAGCAACTGGCTAACAACCCATTTCCCCACAAACTGAAGAGGGCATGCATTTGAGGAAACTACACAAAGCAGGGAAGGAACCACTTGAAAGACTCAGAGGGCAAACTCGCCAGCCTCACATAGAGCCAGGAATAGTTCAGTTTATCACCAGCCAGGATAAAAAAACAAAAAATAAAACAACAAAACCCTGTAATACAAGGTGTCAGGGTACTGACTTAGTAATGGGGAAAATTATGCTCCCAAATTATGCTACCCTGGTCTCACTTAATAAACCTTAAAAGCAAGCCTGGAAAGAATCATACTGTTTAAATGTTATTTAACTGCACCTCCAAATAAAGCTCAAGAACATTTACAATAATATAAAAATATCTAATACCCAACAAAGCAAAATTCACAATGACTAAAAAAAGTAATCAAAGCAGCAGGAAAAATGTTTTATAATGAGGACCAAAATCATTTAATCAAAATGAACACAGAACTGTATATATATACACACACACTAATATATACTAGAGGCCTGGTGCATGAAATTCCTGCAGCGGCGGGGGGTGGGGGGGGGTGGGGGAGGGAGTGTCCCTCAGCCAGCCTGCACCCTCTCCCAATCCGGGACTGCTGGCTCCTAACCACTCGCCTGCCTGCCTGCCTGTCTGATAGCCCCTAACCACTCTGCCTGCCTGCCTGATTGCACCTAACTGCCTGTGCCTCAGCCCCCGCCTCCACGGCTTCATCTGGAAGGACGACCTATCAAATGTCCGATCTAATTAGCATATTACCCTTTTATTATTATAGATATATGCAATTGTAAGCAACAACATTAAAATACTTTTTATATCTGTATTCCATTTATTCAAAGAACTAAAGAATGATTGAACATAGTAAGTAGAGACATAGCAGGTACAAAAAAAGAAATAAGTCAAAATTCTAGAGATGAAAAATATAATGTTTGAGATTTAAAAAAATACACTGAATGGGATTAATAGCAGATCAGACATCTCAGAAGAAAAATTAGTGAACTCGAAGACAAAGCAATAGAACAGCAATAAAACAAAGAGGAGGAAAAAAACACACATCCTGTGCACCAATGAGCCTCTTTGGAGACTACAAAGGAGAGAAGACAGGAAAGGGAACAAAAAGCATGTTCGAGGAAATAATAGCTGAATATTTTTAGAATTTGATGGGGGGAAAACATACACTAATCGATCTCAAATTTCAAAAAGCTGAAATACAAGAAACATGAATAAAACTACAGCAAGTCTCAAACTCAAATTTCTCAAAATCAGTGGTAAAGAAAAGAACCTTACAATTTAGCCAGAGGGAAAAAGACATCAATAAGAAGAATGTTTTTCATTGTTTTTGAAAACAGTGCATAATAAATGGAAGTGGAGCAAAAATTTTAAAGTATTAAAGACTTGAAAACCTATCAACTTCAAATTGTATGCCCAGCAAAATATTTCAGAGACAAAGGTAAAATAAAGGTTCCTACACATAAATGGAAAGAATTCATCACCAGCAGTTCTGCACTACTAGAAATGCTGAAGAAAGAGTACTTCAGGCAGAAAGAAATGATATGAGATAAAAATCTGGATCTACATAGAAGAATGAAGAGATTCAGCAATTATAAATATGGGGTTAAATACAAAATACTTTTATTTTAAAAATATTTAAAAATAATTGACTCCTTAAAGCAAAATCAATTTATTGTGGGGCTTATAACATATGCAGAAATAAAATGTAGGACAACACCATAAATGCCAGGACAACTGTTGTATTTACACTAAATGTGAAATGGTGTAATATTACTTGAAAGCAGACTGTTGTAAGTTAAAGAAGTATAATATAGACTAGAATTTTTTAACCTCACCACTATTCACATTTTGGGTTAGATAACTTTCTAGTCAAGGAGTGGGGTCATTGTACTTTGCATTTTAAGATTTTTGCAGTAACCCAGCCTCTACCTACTAGATGCCAGTAGCACTTGCGCGGTTTTGTCAAAAATGTCTACAGACATTGCCAATAATCCCTGGGGAGGCAAAACTGCCCCTGTTTGAGGACCACTGTGTAAATCCTAAAGAAACCAATAAGAAAACACAACAAAGAGTTACAGCTAATATGCCAACGAAGGAGATAAACAGAATCACAGGAAAAAAATCCAATTAATCCAAAGAAGGCAGAGAAAATGGAAAATGAGAATAAAGAACTGATGAACAAATAATAAAAATAGCCAAATGGTGGATTTAAAGAAAGCAACATCAATAATCACATGGTTCTGGGATGGTTAATTTTATGTCAACCTGACTGGGCCATTGGGTGCCCAGATATTTAGCTAAACATTATCCTCGGTGTGTCTGTGAGGGTGTTTCTGAAAAAAGTTAACATGTGAGCCAGTAGACTGAGTAAAACAGATTGTCCTCTCTAATGTGAGCGGGCCTATGCAATTTGCTGAAGATCTATGTAGAACAAAAGTCAGGGTAAGGGAGAATTCACACTCTCTGACTAACTGATAGGATATAGCAGTGAACAAAACATAATTCTAGCCTGAAAGGTGCTTGCACTTCATTAAGAGCAGTAGTTGCTCATTAAATATTCTCTCAGTCCATTCCAATTATGTTCTTGCCTCCACCTCACCACCAAAACTACTCTTTTGTACATGAAAGATTAGCCAAATCTAATGGCCAGTTTCAGCAGTTTGACACGTTGACTACCCTCATCTCTTCAAACCGCCCCCCCCTTCCCCTGCCGCCAAGTCTGCTTCCAAGACATTACATTCATCTAGTTTTCAGTTTTCTTCTTACCTGACTGCTTCTTCTCCATCTCGTTTGTTGGCTCCTCTTCATCTCCCTGACAAATATTGGTGTGCCCATGTTCAGTGCTTGGACCTTTTCTCTTTTTCTCCAAATGATTACATACAGTGTGAGAACTCCCGTTTTAATAGCTCCATCCCAATTTCTCCCCTGAACTACAAATTCATGTGTCCAAATGCCTACTTGACATCTCTATTTGTATGTCTAACAGAACAGATCATATCCCAAACTAAGCTCCGTGCACTTTTTCCATAATCTGTGCCTTCAAATACAGTCTTATAAATCTCAGGTAAAAGCAACTTTATTCTTCCAATTGCTCAGGCAAAAAAATTCTGGAATCATTCTTGACTCTTCTTTCTCCTACATTGTACATTTGTCATCAGCAGTTATGTGGGCTCTACCTTCAAAATATATCCAGAATATGAAAAGTTCCTATCACCCTGACTCCCAATTTCCTGATTTAAGCCACTATCATCTCTTGCTTAGATTACTGACATTAGCCCATAAGCAGTCCTCTAGATTCCATCCTTGCTCTCCTTAGGCTTCTCTGACCATAGCAGCCTCAATGACCTGATTAAAGTGTTTAGATCAGAACATGCCACTCCTCTGCTCAATGGTGTCCAGTGGCTTTCTGCCACTGACAATAAAAGCAAAAGTCCTAACTCTGACCTATAAGACTCTATGTAATCTGGCCCTCCAATTACATCTTTGACCTCACCTCCTCGTTCACTGGGCTCCACTCACACAGTCTCCTGGCTGCTCCTTCCATGTCCCTGGCATGCTTCCATGCCAGGGCTGTAGCACTTGCTGCTGCTTCTGCATGAACTACTCTTTTCTTCAGTTCCCTAAGGCATTTATTCAAAAGTCACCTTTTCTGTGAGATTTTCCTAGGCTACCATACTTAAAATTCAATTCCTCCATGTGAG